TACCGGCACGGCAATCTTCCCGTGGCTAAGACCCTGGCGATAAGTCGACCTGGGTATTTCCATAGCATAGTGGCATACAACACTACACTACTGTATGTAGAACGGCCCGCCAAGCTTCGACATTGTTCGCACACTCTAGCGCCCACGCTTATTCCGTGCAACCTGCGCAACCATGCAGCAGTCTGCAGTCTGCGGGGGAACAAATCTCTCTTCTTTCCAGGTCAGCCAATATCAAAGTACGGCCAGCCGCTGGGTCTTGTATCGTCCTGTATCTTCTCAACCGACTGCAATCCACACCAATCCACAACAAACCCGTTACTCGTTCCTGATTGAACGACCTTGACGGCCCCGGTATGATGTCGAGTTTGCCCCGCCTGCTTCCCACGAGGCCAATCTCGCAAAACTCCTATTGGGTATTTCCCTAAGGAGATCGCAAGCCGAATGTAGTAGTTGTGTGACGAGACTTGACAACCTCGCTAGGGTTGCGAAAAATACGTACTTTATATTAAAACACGCGTATAATACATAACCCCTGTAAAATACGTATTTTATCGTATTATATAGTATAATATCCCGGGACCGGAATAACCCCTTCCGACCCACTCTACCCAGTGATATGTGCATCTAATTTCTTCATTACCTTAAGAGAAACCATTTGAATTTACGTAGGACCAGTGGTTGATTGATTGATTGATTGATTGATTGATTAGATGGTTATGAGTATATATTATGTATGTATAATAGGATCTATGGGTTTCCGGATCAATTATCGGGTCAATTATCGGGTCAATTATCGGGTCAATTATCAGGTCAATATTAAATCTTATTGGCTCATTCGGAAAATCTTTACAATGGTACCTAGTTACATAGAAATCAACGGCATTTTAGTGGACCCTGCCACTTTTTGCGGGTCCAAAGAAACGTCGTCCCGAATAAAACACAGTATTTTATTTTAAAATACTATATTATACATGTATAATACCGTATTATACAAACGCGTATTAAACATACCGAAACCCTAAACCTCGCTGCATGTTGTACCTGGCGAAAAGGGAACTATCTGGGTAGCAGGGTAGTTCCCCACCCTGCCACCGCGATCCTGGCAAGCCACCGATATATACCTATCATTGCGTGCCCATCTCATCGTCGGCCCGGATCCTTCTACTCCCTTTTCGTTTGTCGTCGTCAGATCTTCGCGATCCAATTCAATGGCCGCTCTTACTGCCTTTCTGTGTCCTCTGGTCTCGTGAATTGGGGAGTCTGGTATTCCTCTTCGCGCGACGAGCATTCATTCGTTCTAATCATTTCTAATGATATATATTCAACTCAAAACGACATGCAAACGAATCTAACACCTGGTTCTGATTCATGTAGCAAGTGAAGGTATCTCAGACGGGGCTAAGAGCGACGAGAATTTTGTAAATTCGTACACTCTCGCGCTCACTCGCCTAAAATCTCAATCTAGCTGACGTAGTAGACGTTAAGCGCTCGACATCAGAGAATCCGTCGATAATACTCTTCTACTAACCTCACCTAGCCATGGCTGGGGAAACAATATCAGTTGTGACGGGGGCAACGAGGACACTTTCGGAGCTTGCGAAAAGAATATATATCCCTTTGACGGCAACGAGCCCGCCGGGCTTGGTGGAAGCGAACACTGTCGACCCGTGGAGCGCGTCTGGAAAGTATGGTTTAGGATGGACATATTTCAGTGTAGCCCTGATGGGAATGGTGGTGCTAGTGCGAATATGGCATTGGTGGCAAGATAAGATCCGACAGGCCATATACAAGCAAGAGGTAGAACAGCATTACCGGGACTTGTATAACCTCGACCCCGAGTATGCACTGGCGACGGGCATGCACACAGGCCAAACCGGCACGCAATTCTTCCCCGAGGAAAATGGAGGAGAAAAGAGGGACTTCAAGCCGAAATCCGACTTTTCTGCTGTCGGTCCCATTCTGGACACGATCGCTCTCTTCAGATGGGTCTTCTACCGGCCGATACCAGATATCGTGTGGCGGAAACATCGGTTCACTTTTTCGTCGCTTGCAGTTTTATTCGTCGGCTTCATCGCATTGGCGTTCGTATCCTTATACGTATTTCTCAAGCAACCCCTTTACTGGGACAGCATCCAATACGGCTCCCCTCCCGTGGCTATCAGAGCGGGTATGATTGCCGTCGCGATGACTCCTTGGATAATCGCAACTAGCATGAAGGCCAACCTGCTCACACTCATTACGGGAATTGGGCCAGAGCGGCTCAATGTGTTTCACCGATGGGCAGGTTATCTTTGCCTATTTCTGGTCCTCATACATACTATTCCGTTTTACGTCCAACCTGTGTGGGACGACGGTGGTATGGCTATTTTTCAAACGCTGTTCCCCCAGGGGAGTGGTGTTATATACGGCACTGGTATCGCATGCTTAGTGCCGTTGCTCTGGCTCTGCGTTGCTTCGCTCCCTTTCATTCGCAGGATAGCTTACGAACTCTTCGTCACGCTACACGTGCCGGTTGGCTTCGTGTACCTCGGTTGTCTATTCTGGCACACGAAGAACTACCTGGGCTCTTGGGATTACTTATATGCTACAATAGCCATTTGGATGCTGTGCTATTTCCTACGCATTTTTAAACTCAACTGGGTTAAGCCGTGGCGGATGGCATTCTTGGTTGGGGACGAGGCAGCTATTACTCTCATGACCGAGAACGCCATCAAGATCACGATTCCCACGCAGATGAAATGGAGTCCCGGGCAGTATGTTTACCTACGAATGCCTGGTATCTCATTCTTCGACAATCACCCGTTCACCATTTCATCGCTCTGTAGCGAAGATTTTCCATCAGAATATGGCGAGCAATATAGAGACTGTACTCTTGTATTCAAACCGTATGGCGGGTTTACTCGACGAGTCCTAGACACCGCTATTGAAAAGGGGCCCTTTCACACATATCGGGCGTATCTCGATGGACCTTACGGCGGTATGCGCCGGGAACTAGCTGCGTTTGACACTTGCATTCTAATCGCAGGTGGAAGTGGTGTAACTGCGTTAATGTCCCAGTTATTGAACCTGATCAAACGCATGCGCGACGGCAAAGCTATTACTAAGAAAGTAGTAGTTGTCTGGGCCCTTAAACGACTTGAGGCGATGGATTGGTTCCGAGAAGAATTGCGTATCTGCCGGGACTCCGCGCCTCCAGAGAGCGTAACTTGCAAATTCTTCGTTACTGCCGCCAAGAGGCAGTCTCACGTCCCAGCTCATCGCGAGCGGGGACCCCGGCCTCTTAGCAATATGTTTCACGATAGATTAGATGGCTTTGTAGCCGGAATCGCCTCGAAGCGCAATTCCCAGTTGATCCGGGACGAAGCGCAGGGTAACCAGGACTACGAGCGCGAATTACGGGCAGAGGACGAAGATAGAATCACTGCCCTTCCACAACAGAAATATCTCCAACCTCATCATATCCCACCACAAGGCCCACCACCTTCGAATCGCCTGTCGCCTCAGGAGGAATCTCTTCGGAGGTTAGAAGGTAGAGATCATAGCGATACCGAAGGTCAGGAGCATGTAGCGCCTGCTCCGGTAGATAGCTTCCCCGACGACAAGCCCAAGCGCGAATTCCACTTCCCGCCACTGCAGACACGTCCCGAACATCAACCACACTTCAATTACGCGCCACCGTCCCCTCGGCGGATCCCGCCTACCTCTAGCGACGACGAAGCCCCCGGCGAACCCTCGGAGCCAGTGCTCCGACCCCCAGAGTTCGCACATCTGCGCACGACAAACCTGCCCCCGCAACCGCGGCCCACGTCGACGTTCGGACCGCCCTCCGGCTTCGACTTTGGGTTCCCCGAGACGCCGACCGAGTTCCAGAAGAGCCTGATGCGCTTCGCGTTCCCGGTCCCGCACCAGATCGACGGTGGATGGAGCGTCGAGTACGGGCGCCCGGACCTCGGGTACATGCTCCGGGAGTGGACAACGGGAGGCGTGGATGGGAGGGGTATACTAGGGAGGCGAACGGCTGTCTTCGTGTGTGGCCCTCCAAGCATGCGGGTTGGTGTGTCGAATATGGTGGCCCGGCTGCAGGCGGAGATTTGGGGAGACCCGATGCTGGAAGAGATCTTCTTGCATACGGAGAATTACGCGCTGTGAGCGAGGCGAGCTAGGGTATACGTGGTATATTATACGACATGCAATACATCGTACGGGAAAGAGAAAGGAGAAGGAGAAAAGAGAGCGGTTGTACATAACTACATCTAATATCCCGCACCGGGACGAGCGAGGGAACGACATACCCAGAACATGACGACTACCACTACCGGCGTTTGGGACAAACTAGGCAGGGACAGGGACAGGGACGGGGACAGGGACGGGGACAGGGACGGGAATGGGATAGGAGATACCACGCGCAGCCAACTTGGGCTAAATCCACATACCAGCCGGGACGGTGCGCCCGGCGTGTATTTGTACAGACGGGTTGGTCGGTCGGGTGGTCTGACGACGCTTACGTGCTCAGGGGTGCTGTATATGTGCCGTAGCGCTCGTACCTGGAGGTATGAGGTGGGATTGGATCTTTATGAGCGTATGCCTGCCTAGTACGTGTGTGCCGATTTATTAAGGTGCTTACTTAATCAACTCCGATGACTGTTATTACGTTGCTTTTGTCTTGTCGTGTGAAGTGTTTACGTGCTTGCGGTGGATAACTTCGAGTATCCCTTTTCATTTTCGAGGTTCCCATATAGAGTACCTTCGTCATTAAGAGTAACATTGGCCTCCCAGCTACGTAAACACAGCGTTACGTCCTATAGGTTCAGCTTGATTGCCTACCTAGGTAACTGTTTGACACATGTTTTCTAAACTTCAGATGAATGTTTGATCGTCTTAAGGTAGGTAGGTAGGTAGGTAACTACTTAGGTATATGTATCTATCTAATCGTTCTTACTTACCAGCCTATACCGTTCATTCGATATTGATGGGCTAAGCATGGTATCAACGTGCTCAAGGGCGCAGTGGCAGAGTGGTTATTGCGTGTGACTAGAATATGCTTCTGGCCTATCATATTCCTTCGGGAGCGCCTGTTCGAATCAGGCCTGCGTCGTTTTCTTTTTTCTTGTTGGTTTGTTTGCTACTGGAGTACGTGCTTATCTGCGTATATGTGGAATGAGTAGTTATACGCATGTTTTTATATTGCTAAAGGAAACGTTGGAGGGTTGAAGCTTTAAGGAGCTTTTTCTGTTTTGGAATTGAGATACTTCTTGTCATGTGTAGCTTTTATCTCACGGCAAGAGCAAAGGCATCGTAGCATCAAATAGATGGAAGGGGCTCACACTATCATCCATAGTTTGGAGGTGTGTATTAATATCGAATTAAATGGGTGAGCTAGAAAAATGGGTGTCATGTGATTCAGGGGTAATCTAAATAATAACACCAAGTTTTCCAAAAGGGTGTATCAACGTCAAACTTGAGCACTTAGGCAGGTAGGTAGGTATATAAGGAAGGTAAGTTGGTAGATGCTGAATAGCAGCACCCGTGCACTTTGTCACATTGCTGCTACTATAAAACGGTGTGTTGTGTGATCAAGAGGTGGCTGTCGACAATGCGCTGTTGTGAAAGGGTGTATCGATTAAAAATACTAGGAGAAAGTAAATAGGAAATGAGATCACGGTGAATGCATGCATGCACAAGTTTGGGGTGTTCTACCATACGCGATTGGCATTAATATGCAGTGGGAAAAAAGAATTGACGAAAAAAAGATTTGGCCGCCGAGGGAATCGAACCCCCAGACGATGAACCCGGATGTCTCAGTATCTATAAGCCCGTCTATCCCGTCTATCCCGTCTATAACCCAACCAGCTGAGCCATCCTAGGTAGTTTCGTCGTCCCAACCCGGCCTATTCTGTACTTGCTGTTAGAATTCACTGTCATTACTTTGGTATATATGGTCAATGTGCGGGTTGTCGCGGTGACAGGATGGTCAAAGCTGTGATACTGTGTGGTCGGTGCATCGTGCACCACTCACTGCACTCTGTCGTGAATGTTCTATGAATATGTCATAAACGGTTTGGTACTTAAAGGGGTGCACTTCAGACGAGACCTAAACCCATATTATCGTATTGGTAGTCAATATATTCGACTATAAACTCGTCTACCTACCTATGTTCCAGCCACGCTTCACACCCTCTATTAGTCTACGTCAGGTATAGGCAGATGGTCAACAAGCTTCATCTGTAAACCCAGCTGTGCAAGGGCCTTCACAGCGTTCTCGTCTCTTAGTCTTTCCGTTTCTTCCTTTGTCGTCAGCACGAAGTCATGCTTCAACAGCAAGCCCCCTTCCGGGAAGTTGTATTCCTTTGCTGTTGCTGTGTCGACCTTATCTATGTCGATTATGAGGCTCTGCTTTACGCCGAATACGGCATCTGACGTCTCGTATGGGTCTCCGCGCACGTAGAGTGCCCTGTTTATGGGGTAGGTTAGTTTATAGTGAAGTCATGCTTATATGTGGCCCCTTTCTTGAAAACTAGGTACCGAAGTACCGACTGGAAGATCGCCAAAAGTCGAGCGATACTTATGACATAAAAGGCATATCGAAGAGAGCAACTCACGTAATCAAGTGGTCCCACCCCTCCTTCTCGAACATAAAGTGCAGATGCGCCGGCCTCCAGCAATGCCTGCCCAGCCTCTCCAGCAGCTTCCCCACGGGCCCGTCGTGCGGGATGGGGTAGCTGACGGGCTTGATGCCCTTGAACCAGAAGCGGCCCTCGGCGTCGCTCACCATAACGCACCGCTCGCTCGGCTCCTCGCGGTCCGAGTGCTGCACGTCGTAGTGGCCGCTGCTGTCCGTCTCCCAGATGTCGATCTTGACGCCGGCCACCGGCCGCCCCGCGCCGTCCCGCACCGTGCAGATGCAGAGCAGCGGCTCGCCGGCGGGGTCCGACGCCATGTTCGACCCGTTGGGCAGCGTCGGCGCGTCGTGCGTGTGGAAGGGCCCGAGCACCGACCCCTCCGTCGAGAGCGGCGGCTTCGGGTGGTTGATGCTGTCGACGAGGAGCGAGAGCCCGAGGATGTCGGAGAGGAGGATGAATTCCTGGGGGGGCCGCGTCAGCTCCCCTTTCTTAATTCTTATCTGCCAGCGCGCGTTTGCGTTTGCGTTTCACGGAGGGAGCAAGGGGAGCGGGGGACACGTACATGGCGCACGTCGCTGCTGATCTGCCCGCAGCCCACGAGGAAGTCCAGGGAGGCCATCCACTCGTCGGTGCTGAGCCGCGTCTCGCGAGCGAAGTCGTGCAGGTGCGTCACCAGCCGCGACATCAGGTACCGCAGCCGCGGGTTCTGGCATTGCGAGTTGATCCGGTTCGTGTTCGGCGTGATGTTGTCGATCGTCAGGTCTAGGAGGGCGGGTATCTTGGCCGGCGCTGCCATGGTAGCGGTGGTTCTAAAGCTACGAGCTTTTTTCTAAACTACGGCGGTATACGAGGTCTAATAAGGTCTAATTGGGGTAGCTTGTTTATAGGAGAAGCAATGGAGAAGCAACGGGTTATAATTGAACACTACCTAAGCTGAAGACACGCAGCCGTGTAAGGCCGTCGTGGTCCCTTATGTAAACATCTGTCATCCCCCGATGCCCACTCTGTCCAATGTCCATCATTGAGGAGTCAGAGTCCACGGACTCCCGGCAGTTGGCGGGCGGGATCTCCAATGCAAGGGAAGCCGTGGCGTGGAAGAAGGTTGACCCTCAAGCGAGAACAAGCAAACGTACGACACGGCCGCTGCGAGGACCCGAAGGGATGGTTTGAGCTGTGACACTCGGGGACGGATTTTACCAATCGAAATAGCGACCGCTCACTTGCTTTTGTGCCACGGCATTGTTACATCCTCGATGATCTGTCTGACCTGTGCATGTGTATGTGCCGGTAGGATTTCGTCGTGAGAAACACCGTCAGAGCTAGCGGATGTGGGGTAATGGATAGGGGATGAGGAATGAGGGGCAGGAAAAGGGGGACGGGAAGAGATGCGGAGATCCCATCCTCGTCACTATCGTGATAAGTGTTTACATAAGAAAGACGCCAATCAATCCTTGCATATTTGTAATAAAAAGTACCTTTGAGTCGTCCTAATCGGTTCATGTATGAAAATGGAGGCGTTGGGGAGGTCCCCGCACCATAAATGCTAACCCTCACTAATACAACATCGAACATTCATATCATTCTTCTCTGTAATATCCCGGCGACTCTATTGATTGAGTCTGTTCAGCTGTTGCTCAGTTAGTAAATGTAATTGATCTGATAATGGAGAAGCAAGGCATCTTAGTTTAGCCCCTATCCTCATGACTCCCAGAGTATTTTGCCTACGACGAAATAGTCGACAGCTGCAACGTTCAATTTCTGGTAAAAAAAGAAAAAAGAAAAAAGAAAAAAAGAACGCAGGATGAGATCCACCGGAAAAGCTTGAAAGTGAAACACAGGCGGGGGCTCTCTATACCAAGTTTCAAAGCTTCGAGTACATCGGATATCATGAACAGGTCACCGCCTTTCCTCTTGCCTCGAATCACCCTCGCCTAATCATCAATCCGCCTTGAATCACTCATACTCGCAGCTGAGATCTCAAGCATGCAGCATTGAAACTAGATTATCTCGTCAACCCTATCTCTCATATTAAGAGGTGGCTCATCTCTTTTCTGCCTAGAGAATGACTGTTCTTTAGTCAGATTTTGCTCCGGGCAATCTTATAACCTTTTACAGGTCAGGACATACGGGGCGTTGATGCTTACCGCAGAACGTATTTGTGTGGAAAATCTTGAAAATCCTGTTTTTCGTGAGAATATTTCGTCAACTGATTAATACTTGCAGAAGAAGTAGAGATTGCAATATCAATTGTGGCGCATATCCTGCTATACTACTCAGATGTCACCACTAGCTTGCAGATTAAGGTCATGCTTCGTTTCTAGGGTTGCCTTGAGTGTTCGGTATCGGTGAATGGACGAATTGCTGCAGATGTGGCAGTGTTATATGCCGTATGCCGTCGAGGACAATATCCAGGTCATCTAGACTATCAAATCTTCTATTCCTAAGTGTTAATATGTCAGGCAACAGTTGATGAGTCGGATGACAGAAGAGCCGGGTCTAGCGAGCCTAGATGTAACTGACGAGACATTCTGATTATCCTCTCTGGGAAACCAAAGGCCGACGAGTTGTGCATATAAATTCTAACCGGCGGAGGACGCGCGTGGCGAAGTTAGGCTCGTTGATACCCAAACCTACCATACCCTAGTCTCAAAGCTCTGATTTGAGAGCCTCACGGTACTTTATTGGATGTCGACAGGTCCCTAAGGCTGTCTAGGTTCTCAGCTTCAGCCCATTTTCAACTGTTCTTTCCAGAAACCTGGAAAGCGCCCGTTTTTCGTCATTATGTACTTCATCGTGCATACATGAGTCTTCACGGGATCGCAGGTTTATGTGTGCGATTGCATAATGAAGTTTTCGTATTCAGCCTCATAACGTCCCTCATAACGTCCATGTTACACGGTGTTCCTATCCCACGTGGTGGCGATAAGTTCCTCGAGATCTGACTGGCTGGAAACTTCCATGGTGTACACCCTAGAAGCCATCCTTTCGACAATCGAGCCACACCAGTCGTATCAGACTGTGAGGAGGCTATTCATCTTACTGGCTAGATCATGGCTAATTTTGGATTCAATATAACTAAAAACAACTACCCCATACGCCATATAGAAGACATAAGCACGCACAAAGTGCCTACCTCGGTAGATATTTATTAACGACTACCCTGACATATCATTCATTTCTTTCTAAACAGGACACAGGCAGACGTATCAGCCTTTTCGTTGCAAATTACACGCTAGAGAGGATGAAATTAAGGCATCTTGGCACAGCCACCGCCGCGTAGTTGTTAACATTCCTACCCGGGCTCCGAGATATCTCGGTTCAAAAAGTTGCGTGCTACCGCCAGTGTGCGGCGTTGATCCCTAAAGGGCTCATGTCATACTTTAATCTAAACGTCGACCAAAACCTACTAGGTTAGATCACTATTATTGTCAGTCTCAAACTAATGAATATACATAAAAATAGTTTAATTTTCCAA